CCCCCCACACACACACACATCCCAGTCAGGGGACTGGTACAGCCCTCTCACGCACACACACGTCCCAGTCAGGGGGCTGGTACAGCTTCTCTGTCCCTTTAGATTCCCCCTTGGAGAGCCTATATGCTCCTGCCACCCTGATCCTAGCTCGGGGGGCCGGTGCAACCCTCCTTCTCCCCATTCCGAGGGCTAGTACGCTCCTCATCCCTGCTTGGGGGTCAGAACTACCCCTCTATCACAGTCAGAGGGCCAGTGCACCTCTCCCTTCCCCATCCCTGGCTTAGAGGGTCTTAGGGTTCCCTCCCTCTCCTAAATCTTGTCTTGGAGGATCAGTTCTCCCCATGTTTCTCCCCATCCCAGCCTAGCATGCCAATATACCCCCAGCCTGGGGGGCTGGTATACCCCCCACACTGATTCATGCTCAGGGAGCTGGTGCCCTTCCTTCTCCCCCACCAGGCCCAGCATAGAGGGATGGCTCACGGGCCTTAGTCCCTCCACCCCCTGGCAGAAAAGTGGCTCAAGGGGTGCAGGTCTGTGACTCCTCACGTTGTTTCCCTTCCAGGAGCAGGGCACCCCATGAAGCCGCATCGCCTGGCACTGACCCACAGCCTAGTCCTGCACTACGGGCTCTACAAGAAGATGATCGTAAGCATCGCTTCTCCGGGGGCAGAAGGCTCTGGCAGGGCATGTGGGACCCTCATCCCTACCCCTGCAGAAACACGGCTGTGGGAGGCAGCTGTGGCCAAACAGCCGTTGGAGGGAGCTATTTACCCCTGGGCAGACAGGAAACGTGTTAGAGATCCATGCTCTATCCTAATTTTCAAGGCTCACTTTTGCCACTAACTCCAAATAGTAGCCTCTATTTTAAGGTTTGGGCTATGTTAGTAAGTTCTCCGGGGCTTTCTCATGTTGCTGCTTCTTGTTCAGCTCCCATTTGTGGCACAGCAGGTAACAGAGTTGTTACAGGCAGGGCTCCAAGCGGTCTTGGCCATTTTCACTAACATGAGGTCATCATTAGCTGTTGGCACCTTGTTAAAGCTTGTGCTTACAGTACCATACCTGGAGCTAAAGCTGTGACGGTGAGAAATGAGTGAAACGTCAGTGTCCATAGCTGCTTCTAGGAAGGACCCAGAGACCATTGTGGGATTACATGTTATCATAGAGAAGTAAAGCTGAAAAGAAAACCCAAGGGGTTAGCTAGTTCATCTTGATGCTATAAGGCAGGATTCACTAATCCTATCTCATCCCTGCTAAATGTTTGTCCAGCCTGGTCTTCAAAGTCTTTATTGCCCAACCAGCTCACACAATCTAGTTCAGTGCTTTGCTCTCATTACCATTAGAAAGATTTTATTTTCCTGAAGTCTAACTTGTGTAAACCTGATAAAATGTGATTAGCAGGTAGTGATTACCAAAAAGCAAACTTAATTCTTCTTATCTTTCAAGAAAGGAACTAATTTGAGTATAGCAGAATATGGCTACAAATCTGCGGTACCCCTAATTTGAAATATGTTACTTCACTTGGGACAGGCAGAATTGAACCAGGCCCCTTTCGCTAGAATCTTTGTTCGTTTTGTTGTCCATTCCCATAGCATAGTGCAAGAAAAAACGCTCTCAAGAGTGTAGGGTACGTAGTTTAGTTTCTAATGGTACAAGGTCAAGGAGGAATGTTAAAACTCATGCATCTACCTGTTAATTTTGAGATGGCTTTTGCATGTTTTGACCTGCAGAATATGCCATCTCCAGCTGCTGAATGTTTTAGGGCAACTTGTTTTTGTCTCTATAGCTTGTTCTGGTTTTCAGTATTGAGGGATTGCTTCTAAACTGTTTCAGACCATTGAACAATTTAATTCCTGTGCTGCCTGGCACGGTTCCAGGTCATGATATCTGATTCAGAGACCAGGTTTAACTGCTAGCTATTGTTTCCCGTAGCCCATAATCTATTTGATGTGCCTTGGGGAAAGGCTATGACCCAGAATGTTGTTCTAAACGTTGATCTGTACATTACAGCTCCAGGCACTTCTATTTTTCATATGTGTATGTGTGTGTATATGTATGGGTATATATATAAAATTACATGTTTTATGCCTATTTTATTTAAATTATATATATATAAAACGTATTTGATTATGATTAGATAACCAGAATCTTCCACTATTACTCATGTGTCTGAACTTGATGACCTAGGAAGTTACTCTGATGCACATGTTCTTAAAACTGATTGTAGGAGTTGTGACTGCAAGTTACTGGTAAGCAGGTAACTGCAAATAAGACATGTTTTGAGGTTCTAGAGGTGAAAGCATGATCAGTGTCTCAGATGATATCTCAGTGATGTGTTTTCACGTTTGCAGCGTGTTTTAGGGATAAGTCATGAGCTGTTGTAAAAACATAGTGATTCTACAACGCTGTCAGATGGAAATGTTCAAATATCAGGCTCTTTGCCGCTAGACCAGGCACTTTTCCAGACTTCAGATAGCTTCCTGTGTTCCCTCATGCCCAGCCTTAAGTTAAGCAAAACTATAGCCAATTCCACTAAACTATCAAAACCCTGACAAGTACTTAGTTGTCATGATACCAGAAAAAGCTCATACTTAAAGAACACCTGTCAAGCACTTGAGATTCAGGGCAACCCTGGGATCAGAGCTGTATCACTCTGAGCACTGGAGAACAGGATTAGATCAGTGGTGCTAGTTCTGGCATATCTTAACTCCTGCATATTTACAGTGTCTTCTCCAGCTTCTGGGGAGGACAAGATGCAAAATCCTTGTGAGTGTGATAGTAATGTGCTTTTCCTGCATTTTTTTAGGACAAAGCGTCAGCAGCCAAACCTGTACAAGTGGGGAAGAGGGAGAAGCTAGATCTCAGCTGCTTTGTACCTGCTGTTTGCACTGAGCAATTTTGTCATTGTCTCTTGTGCTGTACAGGTGCCTAGCATTTATCATGGGCACACGTTCAAGCTCTTTGATGGCTAGTATCTCTTTATGTGGTGAGAGAACTGGGGATTGAGTGAGAGTGGATAGAAAAGGAGTTGTCCTAAAACTACAGCACAGTGCCAATTTTTAAAAGAAGATACATTGCTCTGCTAAAATGCACCAGTGGAATTGTTTGATGGAATATATACCATTAATTTGGTATACTTAAACATTAAAAAAGTTCCCTTGTGGAACTAATATAATTCTTGTATGTTGGTATGTGGTAGAATCAAATCCTTCTGATTTTTAGCTGTCATGGTAAGAGCTTGTGCAGGTAGAGTAACCTGTAGCAGCTGAATGTTCAGCCCTCTAGAGGGACCGGCCTTATAAGGGAGTGATTTTCTAGGTGTCTGTTGGCAGGAAAAATAAGAATTGGGAAGTTGGTCCCTACTCCACATGCTAATAGAGAGTAGCACATTCTGTAGCTGCGGTTTCCCCATCTGTCTTGGTTTCTGATACTTTCCTATCTGCTCTACCTCTTCCCTGTGGGATTCACAGTCCTCATCACCCAACTTGTCATGCCTACTTTCCCTTCCTTTGATTTTCTTGCCATACTGTGCTGCCTCAGAGGGACGTAGTTTTCTTTCTCCTCCCAACCTCCAAGGCTTCTTCTCCATGTCTGCTTATTCTTTCCTTTTTCTCTTCTCAGATGCATCTCTGCCTTTTAATCAAATTGCTTTCTGCTCGATGCTGCCTAGCTACTGACAGTTGAGACCACTGAGACCTCAAGAAAAAGTTGCCCTCTTCCTAACTCCTCTCGCTGGCATCTTAGAAGAATTCCCTGCTGTAGCAATCACAGGGGAGATCCAGCTGGAGTCTAGTCAGGGCACACAGACTCTTTGGAGAATTTAGCTTCCAAATTTTTATTGTAAACGTATGAAGTTCTATGAATAACTTCTCTAGATTTGGGATTTTTCCTACAGAAACAGCAAAAAGCATATTCTGGCATGACACTTCTAAATGTCAAATCCATGCCTGAATGAGGCAGTAGGCAGAGCTGTACACTTTGCCCTATTTTTAGCCTTGAAGCTAGCTGGGTTTGGGGGGGTTTTTTAGCTACATTTTCCATAAAATGTCATCATGAGGCAGAAAACCACATAGGAAACTTCATCTTGAACAGTCAGTGACTGGCAAAGTTACAAGCAAATAAAACCGAGAGATTATTGGTCAACTGTGACTATAAAAGGCCCTATCAACTTTGCGTTATGGTTACATCATTATCTGCCCTTTCTGCCTTCTCTATAGAAAAGTCTGCTGTTTTGTCAAGGTAGCTGAAGCTGGTTTTATCTCTTTACATCTTTCCCAGCTTGTCTGCGGCTGTAGTGTGTGGGCATGTGGTGATCTACTCTTTAAGGCTTAGGGCTGCTGCAAGAGAGGGAGTTGTAGTGCAGCCTATTTGCTCTGTTCTTCTGCTGCGTGTTCCCACGGCCTTCCTTGTGCTGCATCTGGAAGCTGTTGGATCCCTTTGTAAGCTGATGCAACTCAATAACTCAGCAAAACCAGAAAAAAATTTCTGCTGAATTAGCAAAATGAGACAGCCTACAAAGGGGGCTGAGTGCCAGAGCCTGCTTAGGAAAGCGGGTGGGGTTGTGTGGCTGGGAGCAAGGTGAAAGGGAAGAGGTGGAAGGAGTCAGGTTTCCCTTTCTGCTAGCAGCTGAGTCAGTCTTGATGTTTGGGGTCTTTTTTTTTTCTCCTTCGTGTGTCCCCAGTCACTATTTCTTATTATTTGAGAGAGCCTCTTAATATCCTATGAGATTTATTTCTTGTCCATGAGGATTCTTTAGTATTGGTTTTGGTCTTGTTTCATTTAATCAGGCCTCTGGATTCCCAGGAGATGTCTATCCAGAATCTTTGTGGGGAATAGGTAATGGGTCATATTTGTGAGTCATCTCATCTTCCTTGTTTGAGTCGTCGCAAACAGTGTCCTCCAAGAAACACTGAAGCCAGCACATTCATGTCAAAAACGCTGTTCCATATCCCAGGTCAATATACAGTTTCCCAGTAAAGGGAACTTCCTGTTTCTTAGGGTATATTGTGTCTCTAAAAATATCCTCTCCTATGTATGAGTAGTACTTATGATAAATGACTTAATACTGAGGTGACCATCCAAAATATGGCAGGTGAGAATGCTCCTTTGAACACCTGCATGACTAAGACTTGCAGGAAGAGATTACCTGGGTAGAGGAATGCATAGTAGCCTCTGCGTACCTCCTTTAGAAAATCTGCAGGGCTTATCTGGCGGACTTCACAAAGAATTTTCAAATGTTTGACTTCAGTCTTTGCTTGTCAAAATGGTCAGTTTTTTCTTCAAAAATTACAAAATAAATGAGTTTTAAGAATAAGACTCATATTCTCAGTGAAGTGTGTTTGTGCCGCTCCCAGATTATGGGCTTTTATTACATTTTGAAGCTATGTGAACTTACAAGGAAGAATTTATCAGTTTGCCTGCACTTATGCTGCTGTATGATACTAATACAGGTCTCTACAGGGTCAAGTTTAGCCTAGGAAACAGTCATGCTGTTAGAAGCTGCCCTGACACGTTTTCCCTCTGGAGACAAGCTCATGTTTTTCCACGTTTTATCATGTGCCACTTTTTCTATGAAGTGCATGCTGTAATTGAGACAAACTGGGAAACACACAAATTACCTCATACTGATTTCAGTGGAGCTTTAATTTCCCCATGTTGGATAGGTGGTGTTAATTTTTAACTTACTGCATATTAAGATACTCACTCTTAAGTGCCAAATTGGCAATTGTGTGTTGTCATGAGAACCTTAATTTGAATCCATCCAGTTCTCTGACCATTTTTAGACCACTTTCCAAAGGAAACAAAGCTTATGCAACTGTTCCATCTGTCCACAAGCCCTCTCTAAATAACTGTTGAACCTATCAGCCCATTACAGACAAATCTGACAGAGACAGAAACCTATATCAAGGTATTACAAGTTCTGTGAAAGCTGGTGACTGATGAGGAAGTAATGTCCTCCAGTGAAGAAGAAACTGCACTCTGAACGCAGCAGTTCTCTTCTACTGGCTTGCCAGTTGGCCAGTCAAGAGGATATGTGTGTGTATACACATACATGGAGGAGAACTGAGATTCTGCTGTGGTAGGTGAGCCTGGGATTTGTGTGTAGGATGTGGGGTGTTTGTAGTGGGGGGAAAGGAGAGATCAGAGAGTATATGGCAAGAGCTGTAGTTATCGGGGGAGGTAGGAGATGGGGATGCGGTTAAGAGACAAACCAATAGGACAATGGGCTTCATGGAGCAACTTGTTGAATTTAAATGAACAAGTATGTCAGGGAGCCAAACGTATGTTGGAATATTTTTGGATATACCTCATGCAGGTCATTTGTCAATTAGTTTGAGATTTCTTCGAGCCAAAGCAAATGCAATTTTGGGTAGAAAGTAAGTCTTGTCTTTCTCTGTTGAAGGTTTTCAAACCCTATCAGGCATCCCAGCATGACATGTGCCGGTTCCACTCTGAGGATTACATAGACTTCTTGCAGAGAGTGAGTCCCAACAACATGCAGGGATTCACCAAAAGCCTCAATGCCTTCAACGTGGGTGATGACTGGTGAGTGCCTTCAGCAAACCCAGAGTCCTAAAGGCTGATATGATCCTGAATTGCTTATATCTGGAGAGCTCTTCTAGAATTTACTGTTTTGTTTTACGAGAATGAGGTGTCAGATTACTGTAACCTCCTTGCTTCCTTTCCCTTCTCTATTTAACTCTTTGCAGTCCTCATTTTTAGATCTGTATTTAGACTGTAAGCTTGTTGGGTTAGAGATTGTATCTCTACTTGTGCTTGCAGAGCCTCCAATTCTTGAACATGCGAACTACTTTTTAAAATAATTGCCTGTCATTTTAGCTACCTCGATGTGTGCGTGTTAAATTTGAGGCAGCTTTGAGAGCCTGATTTTCAGGTAGAACTGAGGAGGTATTCAGGCATCTGTAGAAAATCGCATGAGAACTTGCTGAGAATATTCAATTCCAGTCTTTAATGTTCATGAGAGTTGACAGCATGGAAGACGTGTGGAACTCCCTGTGTGACTAAAGAATTGTAGAGTATGCCTTGTCTAGTTGGGGAAAACGAGGGCTGCAGAGAGTAAGATTGTTCTTATGTATTCTTTGGAGGAGAAACCTGTAAGTACTGTGACAGCAGAAGTTATGTTAGCTAGAGAACAGTGTTATCCCAAGAAGATATTAGTATAGCTGGTTTTAAGCATTGAGTTAGGGAATCAGAAGACTGTGTCATATCCTCTCTGCTGTGATGATCAGAAATAGTCATCTTATCAGAGATGAGGGAAAAAAAATCTTAAGCCATTACTTGTCTCTGAACGAAATTTGTGATTTGATGCTGAAAGTCAGTGACGCAGGGGTTCCACATCCTATGTTTCTGTACTCTCCCAGAGATAGTGATGCCTGGACTAGCTCTTCGTGGTGGGGTGGATCATGCCTTGATGCTGTCTTAAGAGCAGCGTGCATCTCTGACTGCAATAGACTGCACTGTGTGCTGGGAAATGGAGGGGGCAGGATCTTCCAAATACAGCCAGTGGGAAGAGATTGTGGGAGGAGACCAGTCCTTCCTTCTCCTCAGTGCAGTTTCTCACTCCATGCCCTAGCTTTCTGCCCGTCAGCCGAGCTGGTGTATATTTTGAGCAGGACAGCCTTTTCAGGACTAACTTGGAAGCTTTGGTAATCATTATCAAACCCACTGAGTTTTCCATTGTGTTTGCAGCCAGATTGCCACCTGTTGGTACTCAGTGTGTTATAAGGAGGGTCAGAATGATCCCAGATTAACTTTTTCACGGAGAATGAGTTTTGACCTTGATGGTTTTATTCTCAGCTTTGCTCTATTCCCAGCTCTGCTCTGGAGAGATGTGGAGGATATTCTGTGTTTGAACTATTGTTTCTTTTTCAGCCCAGTGTTTCCAGGCCTCTTTGAATTTTGCTCTCGCTATACTGGAGCCTCCCTGCAGGGAGCGACACAGCTGAATAACAAGGTAACTGAGCTGATGTGATTGTCTTCTGAAACATATGTAGAAGCCAACCTCCTGAGTGTGTTTTTTTTATAACAACATAGCAAGCACTGCTGTGTTGCAGTGCAAATACTTAGCGCTACAGAATTTGACCATTCCCGTGCCATCAGAGGCAACCATTTAGTAGATGTTTAATCCAGTGAGAGCCACAGGATAATAATGCTACACGTACTGAAGTCAGAAAGTACTCTCAGCATTCTAGAACAAGCCTGGGGTCTTCAATGAAAACGAGCCAAACCACCCAAGCTACAGGCTGCCAGGAGGCCTTAAGAGTGCTGCTAGGTCTTTGCTATGGAAATGCACTAAACAGGACTGCCCAAACAATCTTAAGAAGTGGGTCTCCTGAGAAGAAAGAAAACAAAACTCCAGAGGTTTGAGAGTCTTTTAGAGGGACAGCACTTCTAAGCAAACTCTAATAAGCGTGAAGGCAAGTGTGGGAGCAAGCTATACATGCTAGATACTTTGCCTAGCACTGTCTGGAGGGCAAACAGTGGTGGTAGGAGATGGTCTTTTCAGTCCTACAGAGGAATGTAGAGCACATGATGTAGCAAACATTGCTAGCTGCACTAGAGAGCAAGGTGGAGCTTCAGAAAGGCATGCATAGGTGTAGGAGAGGGCAGAAGGGTGTTTTTGGGCCACAGTGCTGGGCGAGTTCAAGTCCCTGCTGATTGGACGCATGGGTGGAAGATGGTTGTTACCATGTTGTCATCTTAAACTACTTTACCTTTCCTTTCTTAGATCTGTGATATTGCAATAAACTGGGCTGGGGGCCTGCATCATGCCAAAAAGTTTGAGGTAATGAGACAAATCTGAGTATTCCTTTGTCTTTTTGAGGCCCTGCTCTGTGTTGATCCTATTCTAATGCTATTTGTTTTTCTTTGTGTTGCAGGCTTCTGGATTTTGCTACGTGAATGACATAGTTATTGGCATCCTGGAGCTGCTTAAGTAAGAACATGGGGCAAGTGCAGAACCGTCCTGGCTAGCATGTAGTCTTCTGGTGCTTCTCTGCCATCCTATTTCTGTTCTCTCTCTCTTCTTTGGTTAATGGATGTCTTTGCCCTTCCAGAGTCTCAGAAGGCCAAGAACTTGGTCTTTCAGCCTGATCTCCTCTTTAGACACGAGTGGGGGCTTAAAAATTAGAATATCTGCTTCCAGTTTTGTTAAGTGGAAAGTTCTTAAATTCTGTGTCTCCATATCCATCTGTGAAATATCCATGTCAGAGGTCTCATGAATCTCAGCATTTTTGCCAGGGTGAGCCTTTTGTAGGTAAATGCACAGTATGGCTCACTGGAGATAAAGCAGAGTTAAATGACTCTCACATTCTTCTTGATTTGCTTGACTGGATTAAGAACAGGACTTGGGCAATACGTGGATGATCAAAGGGCATCTGTTTTGGGTAGAAGAGAGTCAGAGTAAAGAGTCGGGTTTTTTTTAGAAAACAAAAAAGAAAATCGGATTGGGAGGAAGAGTTACAGAAATACCTTCCGTTTCTTGGATTAATCTACGATTTCTGCCCACTCCAATGTACTGCTCATTCCGATATCTCAGGCATCATGTTGTGGAATTGGAAAAGGTTTGGGGGTTGGCCAAGAAATAGTTGCATGACTTGTGGCAAGCTTACTAGCTAACAAGTCACATTTATGGAACATACAGGGCTTTCTTGCATCTCTTTCCTGTATGCCAGTTTTTCCTACTTTGTGTTTGGAACCTCAGCTCTTCACTGCTATATCTCTGAACAACTATTTTTCAGTCTCACGTGTTAGGGTCCCACATGCCAGAGGCTTCAAATACAGCCTGATTACCCCTCAAGGAAGATTACAATATGTCCTTATTCCTTTATTCTATCTTTTTGGAAACATTTATTTCCACAGGAGGTGACTGCATACTTGAGTCCCCGAGTTTACTTCTCACTGTGGGGATACTGTGGTCCCTCTGCTCTTAGAAGGTCCCTTTCTCCCTTTCTCCCTTTGCCAGTGTGCAAATGCTATGTGTGCATCCCCCTTTTCTCCTTGTTGTTGATCTTTGGGATAAATCATCTGGGTTGCCTGTAATGGTTTCTGTTTTGGTGTTGTCTGACTTTTCAGGTCCCTTCTAAATCTCCTTGGGTTTTAGATATGTAGGCCAGATCCCCTCCTCTTTGGAGACTGATCAGATGCAGTATTTCCTTATAAAAGGTTGCAGAAGTTCTGCCAGCTGAACAGTCAGCTCCACAGTTGGCAGGCGAGACATGGCCTAAGCCTGTCTCCAGTGCTTGACAGTACTGAGTGCTGTCACGTGCGTTGACAACGTCATCTTTCACTGTTAAACCAATGCATTTACTGATAATGATCTCCCCTCATGCACCCTCTGTTTCTGTGACCCAGCAGGCTTTTCCTTCAGTATATTTTGTGCCCAAAATGCTCGTTTGGATGGGAGAGCTGAGCCAACGGAACCTTGCTGAGTCCAGTTACCTCTCTTTCCCCTTCTGCCTAAACATCCATTCTGACTCATATTATGCTCAGTGCTTCCCTCATCCCTGCCTTTTTTGATCAGCTTCTCACCATCCTCCCAGCATTGCCTCAGGGCTGATTCCCTACCGGAGAGATTGGCACCTCTGCCCTGATTTCTGCAGCCACTAGGATTTGCATCCAAGTCTCCTGTTCCTTGTTGGAACAAGGCAACGCTTTGGAATCCAACTTGTTTTCCTTGGAGCTTGCTGGCTGGGACATAATACTGCCAGTATTTTAGCACACGGAGGGAAATAAGTGTTCTTACCTCCTTGGCTAGCTTACCATTCGTTTCCAGGTGTGGTTAAAAATTACTGGAGTTCTTAAAGATTAACCAGCTGGAAAGTTATTTGTAAATAACTGTCTAACACTAGTGTGGCCAAAATAGGTTCTGTTTATCATGTGCTTTCCAATATTTTTTTGGCCCCATCTGAAAGCCTTCTAGGCTAACATCTCCTTCCAGGAACAGCAGCAAAATTGTTTTGAGTGGCGGGTGCATGTGTACAGGCGCTATATACAATTGTAACCCATATCTAAAGCTATCTGATATGCCTGGGGTGGGACAAGCGGGTTCTTTTGGCAAGTGGGTTTGCCTGTAGACTTCACTGGTGGTTTTCAGAGAGCTTGGTGATAGTGAAGCACGTGGGTGATGGTGATGGCGTGGCTGGGTGCAGAGCAGACCATGCAATGCTGTTTTTCTTGTTTCTGGCAGATACCACCCACGTGTTCTATATATTGATATCGATATTCATCACGGAGATGGTGTCCAGGAGGCTTTCTACTTGACGGACCGTGTCATGACAGTGTCATTTCACAAATATGGGAACTATTTCTTTCCTGGTACAGGTACGTAGTTTCATTTATAATGGGAACGTAGCCTCCTTTCAGAATCCTTTGAAAGCGTTGCTGCAGTATAGAAGTGTAAAACTGTGAGATTACAGCTGCAGGAAAAAATGATAGAGGAAAGCACGTGGAGAAGCAACCAGAGAGGAATAGTACTGTAGTCATTTGTAAGAAAGAGGGATGGTAGCTAGTTTAGCACAGATCTTGACCTGGACCAGATCTGGTCTGTCCACACTGCTTAAGTTTCAGAGCTATCATGACTTCGCTGTCTTTCCCTGGCCAGGTGACATGTATGAAGTTGGTGCAGAGAGTGGTCGTTATTACTGTCTCAATGTGCCTCTACGAGATGGCATTGATGACCAAAGTAAGTAGGTGTTTCTCACCTTCTCCCTTTACCCAATTGTTTGCTGGTTCCTTCTGCTCCACAGCCATGATGAATCTTTCTTTCTCTCTAAAGGTTATAAACATCTCTTCCAGCCAGTCATTAACCAGGTGGTAGACTACTATCAACCCACCTGCATAGTACTGCAGGTAAGAAAGCAAGCCTCTGTGCACATGTACATCCCTTTCAGATGCTGTAGGTTGGAGGGGTATGCTATCGAATGGGTGACCCTCTGTTTCCTGGGAATAGAGTCAGCGCATCCCAGCTGAGCTGCTATCTATAGCTCTCTAGTGAAGTAGGGTGGCAAAGAGATAGGGATGCTGATGCACGTCCAGAAAGTGCTGCCTCTGTAGTAGCCAAAATTCATTTGTTCTTTTTCTGTTCCCTAGTGTGGTGCTGATTCTCTGGGTTGTGACCGTTTGGGTTGCTTTAACCTCAGTATACGAGGACACGGGTAAGTACAGCCGCGCTGGAGGCAAGGCAATTTAAGGACCCCCCCTTTATTCTGAAGGGTTGTAGAGGGTCCTCTGCTATGTGGCTTGAGCTTTGACCTTGGCGTTCCAGCAGCACCAACCGTTGTTCTAATCCTTGTGACAGGAGGGGCTCTCAGAACAGGGTTGCATACAAGGTGCTGCAGAGCGGTGGTTCCCAGATGAGCAGGGGTTTCAGGCTTCCTGGGTGGGAGTCCTGAATGCTGGATGTATCACGCCAGTAATGCTGGTTGTTGAGCATTTGGTGGCTCCTGGGACAGATGACTGCGTTTCCGACATGTGAATGTGTGCTGCAGTTAACAGCTCTGATATTTCTGTTTTGAATTTCTAGAGAATGTGTGGAGTATGTAAAGAGCTTTAATATCCCCTTGCTGGTGCTGGGAGGAGGTGGCTACACAGTCCGCAATGTGGCACGATGCTGGTGAGTCTTTTCCATGCGTTTTGAAGGTCACCAATACAGCAGTTGCTGTGGATTTTGTGTGCCTGGGTCTACCATGCAGCTTTCTCTGGACTGAGCTCCTCTTATTCCGTGTTCTTAGGACTTATGAAACATCACTGCTCGTAGATGAAGCAATTAGCGAAGAGCTCCCGTACAGTGGTAAGTTGGAGTTCCCTTATTTCCTCCATTAGTGTAGCTAAGGTACCTGTTGTGCCAGCTGAAGAATTAACACTTCTACAGTGCATTGACCAGAGATGAGGTCAGGGCCAAAATGATAGCATTTTCTGATTTTAGACGTGGCCTTGGTCTCCTTCTAGCTCCCACTTGTAGGTTTTGCTGGACAGACAAATCCTTACTGTGTCATATGTTACTCAATTTGGATCATTTCCTATTCAGTCACCTGGGCATTACTTTTGCTCTCTCTTTATTGTTTTATATAATCCTTGTGATTACAGAGCTGTATATCATTGTGCTTTTTAGGATCTGATCACAGCTAGAATAGTGGGAGAGTGACCTCTGCTTCCCTGCAGAGCAGTGTGACCGGTTCCCTTGCTCCTGTGCTTTAACTTTCTTCCTCATTCCATCACAGAGTACTTTGAATACTTTGCTCCAGACTTCACCCTTCATCCTGATGTCAGTACAAGGATTGAGAATCAGAACTCCAGGCAGGTGAGTGCTCGCAGCCTTATCCTGCTGTCCAGCTGTGTATTTCCCAAACCCTATGATTGATGCTGTATCCTGTGAAACCAGGCAGAGCCCACACAAGGAGTTCTTACGGGGCTAGAAAGCTGAGAAAGTACAGGCAGAGCCTTCCCTCTAGGATGGCAGAAAGTCCTTCTGAAAGAAAGGGTCCTTCACGTTTGGGAACCTTATTGGGTTCTCTTACTGTTTTCTATGTGCTTGAGTCTCAGTGATTGTAATAACTCTCTCACCTCCTCTGCCCTTTGCACAAATGGTATTTCTCACGGCAACCACTTAGATGATGCAGGCAGGTAATAGTGCTAACAGTTGCGGCTCTATGCAGGCTGTCAGATCTTGTGGTGATCTCCCTGGTTTTTTCTAAGTAGTACTTGGATCAGATCAGGCAGACGATATTTGAGAATCTGAAGATGCTGAACCACGCTCCCAGTGTGCAGATCCATGATGTCCCTTCTGACTTGCTCAGCTACGATCGCACAGATGAACCTGATCCAGAGGAAAGAGGCTCTGAGGAAAACTATAGCAGGTACCTGCTCTGTTGTTCTGGAGAAATCAGCTTCCCTTTCTGTTCCCGCTGGGATGGGCAGATGATATACTAAAGACCATCTGTTTCCTGGAACAGGAATACTAAGTCACTTCTGAGTTTCAGGTTTAATCCAGGGAGCCTTTCTCTACAAATGTGTGGTCTCCTTACAAAACGTGTCACTGGGTGCTTGGGTGCAGTCCACCTTTTGACCTTCTGCAGTGCGACCTAGGCATTCTTTTCTGTCCCCGAGGGGTGCAGGACAGGGGTCTCCCCACTTACAGTGATTGTCTTTTCCCCCAGGCCTGAAGCTGCCAACGAGTTCTATGATGGTGACCACGATAATGACAAAGAAAGCGACGTTGAGATCTGAGGGCTCTGATGTGGGACTTTGGACTATGAGGGGTCCCGCATTGGACATTGGTGCTTGGTGCAGTGAACTGGGGCACAAGTGAGCCGGCTCACCCTCCCTTCATATTTGATTGCATGTTGTGGTAGCAGAAACAGCACCATTGCGGGCTTCTGCTACCTGGAGAAGCAGAGAGCGGTGAAATGTGGTCCTTACGGTCTGCCATGTGTCAGGGTTCCACATGTCACCACTCTGGGAAACGGAGATCCAAGTAGCACTCAAATCTGTGCTGTAAACTCTGTCTGGCAGCCATTCAACTACCTTCAGAGCCTGATCTGCACTGGTTCGGTCAGCTCCTTTAACTCCAGTGCTGGCTGCTTTCTGCCAGAAAGGTGGGAGCTGGAGCGCTTGTGCCTAGAATATCTGCCTCTCTTCAGCAACAACACCGGATACATCCTGGTTTCCCCAGCCCTCTACTCAGGTACCCAATCGATTATCCTCTGAAGCCTGCACTGAGGGTTGCCTCCCGATAGCCTTTCTAACTATCTGACGCTCCACAGCTCGAGGAAAACCATTCAAGAAGACAAGGCCAGTTCTGGGCTGGGGCTGGGGATGTGACTGGAGCAGGGAGCAGCTTGATGGAGCAGGGTAGAAGAATGTATGCAGAGTACGGTCTTGTTCATTCCTCCCATACTTAGTTTTGAATTCAGAAACAAGTACTGCAGCACTTGCTAACTTGGACCTAGCTCCCATTTCTTATCATTCTTCAAGAGGCTAAAATCACTGTGGAACATAGGTTTGGTTGCCAAGGTCAGTACATAATGTGTCTTGCACCTTTAATGTAGCTTCCGGCCATGTTTTCCAAGTTCACACATGCCCATTTTATGTGTTTGAAAAAGATTTGGGCTGCTCACTTGGAGTGAAAAGCATTCCTTCCTGACTGTGCCCAAGAGACATCGCTCTGTTCAGGGGTGAGGGAAGCTGCTTCCTGTAACTCCTCTCCTCTTGCCCTCACATAGCGAAGAGATTTCTCTTCGCCATCCCTGAAATCTCAAACATTGCTGCTCCCTCTCCTGAGTCATCACCTGGCATCTGTCACGGTTTGGAGAGTGTTGTTAGGGTGAGGGGAGGGGTTTAGCCTCTTACTGTCTGTACTGTTCTGTTTGTTTACTGATGTCTTTAAACATTAAATCAAGAGGCAGTATTTTTCTTACCTGACCTGTTGTTCGTCTATTTAATGCTCATGCCTTTTTGGCTCCTGGCCTGTCGAGGACTGAGAATACATGTATCATAGGGTAGTGTCCTCTGCTGTCTGACCTGTGAAAGTTCCTGTTTGCTAGATGAATGGAGGGCATTCAGCTCCTCTAAGTGTATGCCGGCGAGTTTTCTGCTTCAGTGCACAATGAGGAGAGAGTCTTGAATTCCTGTACAAAAGGACAGGTCCCGTGGGCTGATAGACGCTCCTGCTTATCCCTCTGGTTCTAGTAAAAGCTTTACAGGAAGCTACAAAGCTGGTTTATGCAACCTTTCCAATAATAGTTTTAAATGTCATAGTTTCTTTGAGTTGCAGCTTGCGTAAGAATCTGCCCTTTGCATTCCCACTTTCCTAAAGCCCAAGTTAGAGACTGTTTCTCTTTGTTCCTAGACCTGCCACTGTCTACCTCTTCATTGCCCCTCCCCAGGCCCATGACATTTGTCATTTATCAAGTAAGCTCTCATGAGCCTGCGTGGATTGACATTCCTCTTACTTTTTGTACAGTAGCCACTGCCAATAAAGCTTCTGTGTAGAAAAACAGGAGAGGTAAAAGAGGAAAATATGATTCAGGAAGCATTGAACAGAGCGTATGTAACTTGGGATGTGAGGGCCAGAAGGAGACACCGACTTGACCGGGTCGGTTGGATGTATTCACAGGCTACGCCTGTTCCTGTTAGGCTGTTTACACAACTGCCAGCCCAAGGCCTCAGGATTATGGGGAGGAGGTAAAACTCTGCCACAAGTGAGCTGCAGCTCACTTTACTACTACAGTGTAAAGCAGGCAGTCATTCACTGTTACTCCCGCTATGTGCCTAGAGAAATAGTATTTTTGCATGCAGGGTTCTCTACAGTTGTTTCCACTCTACTTGACCAGTGTCCTAGGGCAAACAGCTTAGGATATCTCAGGCAATGATGTGCATTCATGTCCTGCATGCTGTGTGCTATTTTGCCCTTGCTTCTCCAAAAGGTTATAGTAGAATTAGACTAGCTATGGAGAAGGACGCTGAGGCTGATGAAAGGTGCAGCACAGCTTCTGCATGTGGAATGACTCAGTAGACAAGGATTCATCAGCTGGGAAGAGAGAATTGAGTTGGAAAATGATCTGTAAGTTCTATAAAGTCATAAGTGTCATAGAAAATCTCTCCTTCTACAAGAATTAGAGGAGCATCAAAAGAAGCTAGCAAGTGGCTAGTTCAAAAGAAGGAAGTTGTTTTGTGCATACCTAGATGGACAGTGCAACTTGCCATGAAGTACTGTGAATACTGAAAGCTTCTGTGGGTTCAGAAAGGGACTAGGAAAAAAAATAAAAAGGACCAAGGTTGTTAAATTCAAAGACACTTCTAAGCACAAATTTTTGGACACTGGATGTATGTTCTGTAAAGTATTGCTATGCGCTTACCCTAAGGCTTGGTTAATCATATTTGTGTTCCTTATGTGCTTTAGCTGACATGCTGTACTTTGCATATCAGAAGACTCAAAATGCCAGTACAATGGCCAGAGTTTTGAAAAACAAAGACTGGAATCTGTGCTTTAGCTGACATGCTGTACTTTGCATATCAGAAGACTCAAAATGCCAGTACAATGGCCAGAGTTTTGAAAAACAAAGACTGGAATTGAAAAGAAAAAAAATTTTTTTTTTTTTTTAAATTCCAGTTCCTGTTTCATCTGATATCATCAGAGAGCTAGCTTGTTTCATCTGATGGTGTCATCAGTTGTATCAAAGCTGATTTACAGGAATGCAGTCTCTCACCTCTGGTAGTAGTCAATATTTGCTTCTTCAAAAGAAGAGGGAAATCCTCCCCTTGTAGCTCCATCTCTTACTGATGAAGACTGTAAACTTCGCAAAAACTCCACAGCCAGTTCTTAGTCAAAATTACCTGTCCTGTTTGCATTGAGGTACCTCTGTTACTTTTAAGAAGCAACAAATTCTGGGGCTTTCAGTTGTATTGCTCTTCCTCCTGCACTTTGATATGCACATCTCTTTCTATCCCATAATAAGCCCTCCCCTGGCAGCCTTTTTAGGCTCCATTCCTCCCACAGTAGAGAAACGTAAGTGCTTTCTTTCCTCCTTGTGATATGGTATGCATCACTTGTACAGCCTGTGCTATTCAAACTTTCCCTCTTCAGAATCCTTGTCTGTTCTGGGTTTTGAAATAAGGCTGCAAATTCAGAGGATTGTCTTTATCTGGGTTTCTGATGGGTTTTCTTGGAAACGGCTGTGAAACAAATTCAGGCTGTAGAGATTTTTCCTCCCAGTTGTATTTTCCCACTGCAACGGAGCTGTCAGAAATGAGAAACTGAACTAAAATTGCCATCTGATACTGCAGGACTACTCAAGCTGCATTAGACCAAAGGTTCATGTAGACCAGTGTCTTGTCTCTGGCATCACCCAGTAATAGATGCCTACTGAAGTGGATAGGAACAAGACAAGTGTGAAATCCACAGTAGTAATATACTAGATAAGGTGGCAAACTTGCACATCTTGAATGTGGGGTCATGATATGTATCTAACGCAAAATTGACTGGTAGGCTGCTTTATAAAGTACAGGATAGTCTGGTACCAACTGAAATTAAATTAAGCCAGATTTATTTATCTTTAGGAAATGTGTGAGAACCAACACTTGCACAAATAGATAAAACAGCTGCAGTTTATAACGTACACAGTGAGCGTCAACTGACTGCATTTAGTTGCTGTTATCGATGGGCAACAGAGATCACAGAAGGGTGAAAAAAATTCAGTCACAAAGTTCCTAGAGAGTACTTTTGTCCTCTCTTGCTGTATTTTCTTTCCTATATTTTAGCAGGAAAAAAGCTCCCTTTGTATTTTTGAATTCAGTTGTTCAAAATAGAGGTAGGGATGATGTGAATGTCTCTGTGATTGAGGTGGAAGCCCTTGATCTGGGAGGTTTCCTAAAGGTGACAGAGTTGTGGCTCCGTCTGACAGTTCCCCCCAGAGCTTGACCCTCCTTGGCCAAGGATGTGTTGTTACAGGCCAGCCTCATGCTTTGTTCAGATTTTGCAGTCTGCAGTCGTCCCAGAGGAACACAGCTCTGATGTGGGCTGATAAGCTGAAATGTGGACTTCTCATAGAGCCGTAACCGGGCTCACTAATTGCTTTGAAAATGAAGACCAAAAGCCTTAAGTGACTCTTCCAAAAATGACTGGGAGCCAACAGAGTAACTGGAGCAGGTGCTTAATGCTTATGGCAGCCAAAAAGAGAGGGAAGACAAGGTGGCCTGTCCTGAACTAGCAGCTGCCCCTTGGACACAGCGAATGATGTAATTTAACCTGGAGGCCGCAACCGCGTCACTAGCTCCCCATTTGGAAGCAAGGTAAGTCAGTGGAGCTCCATAAGTGAACTGGCAGCAAAAGGAAGAGTGCTTAGTCATGAGCAGCATATAGCGACTGTAAGGCTGGAGCCCGGAACATGGGCGCACCTCCGGGACTAGGAGCAGCTTGGCTTTAGTTGCAGAGGATGCCTTAACTATCCCTTCAAAACATTTTCTGGCCAATATCAGAGTGGTCCTGCCTGGTATGAATCTGGGAAAATGGGTGTTGGGCACTAGAAGTGTCCCCCCTCCTCTCGGAGAGGAGACAGGACTGTGTTTTGTTGAGCACATTCTGTGATTTCACGGGCAAATGGAACAGAAGCAAACAAGCATTTTCTGGTCATTAAAAGGAGAAAATTCAGGCCTATTTGATGAATGCACTTTTGAATAGCTGCTTGTTTCAGGCTTGCCTACTGTGCATCAAATATTGACTATGACCTAAGCAGGAAAGATGTGTGTTGAGAGACTGAATTATCAGAATAATGCCCACGCGGGTGCAGCTATGCTGCCCTACAGGGTGACTTGCAAACCTTTTGATGGGAACAGGATGTAATGCTGGGTGCCAAAAAAAGGTGCGACTGATTTTGCCACTGCATTGTAGCTCAGTTCTATTTAATAGAAACTTAGATGAAGGGGTCAGAAGAATTCATTTGGCTCTGAAGAGTGAATATATTCAGAGATGTTCCTGTCCTTGGTGAGTAACTCTGCTTTATTTCTATTTTAGTATTTGCACAGATCATGTTGCGGGAGAGAAAGGCTAGCTAGAAATGAATGCATGTGGTTGTTACTCCAAGGATGGGATCAAGCTCCCACTGCAGTAGCAGTGTTTTAGAAAAATTTCATGCATAATCCTAGCTGGTGGTTTGTGAGGCTTCTGCAACTGTGCTTATATACTCAGGTTCAACTCCTCCTGCGAGGGACATGTGCGCTGACTCCTGGGGGCTGGACACACAGCATGGCTAGTTTGGGTACCCAGAACAAGCAGTTATTTTGGCTTTGTAGGGATAGGCGCTTAGGGCTGGAAGAATCCAACCTGAAGCAGAAGCACCCTTTTTATCCTGAGCCTGGCACCCTTTGAAATATCCTGTGCCTGCTTGTTTGAAAAAGAAACAACCCGAGGCCCACATGGGTGGAGCAAGCCTCCAGAAGGTAATGAAAAAAAGGTTGGGAGAAATACTATGCTTTGGTGACAGAAAAACAATAGATAAGAAAAAGCCCAAAGGGCTTTGCTTGCAGAAGCTGAACTTGGATCACTGGCCTTTAGAGAAGGGTTGTGGCGTGAACCACATGGCACCCTCAAAAGGACCCTCAAAGCACTCGAGTGGGATGCTCCAGGCACACTCGGATAGCACGTGTGTGAACAAACAGTCTGGCTGTCCTGCCCGGTGCTGTCTGCGGTCCCACGTAAGGTGAAGCAACCGTTGCTGTGCGTGATGGGGCTGACTCCACTCTGAGCAAGTCCAGTGGTGCCCGAAGTACTGTGACGCAGAAAGCTATCACGTCAACTCTGTTCTTCGGCAACGAGGTGCCACACAAAAAATTGGCTTGCAAAGAAACCTAGATTGGCAGTACTCGCCACTTAGATGCTTACCTGTTAATTAATTTGGCTCAATGGCGATAGAAGCTGCT